AAGGCCAGTCCTGCTTTTATCTTCACTCGAGGTGTGAGTTGTTGTTTCCTCTGCTCCTTGCCTGTTTGATGTTTCAATGCTCTGAATCACACCTGGCCAGTGCAAGTGACCCCCCAGCCTCAGGTCAGATTCTTCAGCGTGTATTTTTGCCTGTTTGGAGGAAATTGAGCACTATGAGTCACTTCAGAATTCCCGAGATGAGAAGTGGAGATAAGATTTTCTGACTCCTGGGGTTCCACTCCAGACAGAGTGGAGACTGCCTCAGGCAGCCTTGAGAAATTCCAGTGCCTTTGTAGCAGTTGCATTGCCTACCTTATTCACATTTAATCAGACACAGAAGCCGAGGGATGAGTATGTTTTCAGAAATTATCTTTTCTTCCCATCTGGACCTCAGGGAAAACTTGTGATTTAAACCCTTTGTCTCTTAATTTCAAAAGAATTAAGTGTTGCAAGCTCCTCTCCAAACAGGAAACATCTTCACCACTGGCACTAGAACTCCTTTTCCCCCCTCCAGGCCGGCTCAATCTCTTACTTTGTCTCTCCTAGTATTACTGTGGGTGAAGCTGGAGGTTTTTCCACTATTTCAAAATTTCAAGTGGTTCTATGACTCTTTGCCATGGGATAAATGTCCATTATACAAAGCACTTTGAAATAAATACCTATCAAGTGCTTTAATTTAGGAATGACGAAAATATCTTCTAGGAGAGAGATGGAACTGGATTACTCAGAGACACTTAAAGGTCTATTTTTGTCTGTTGATATGTAAATGCAGGTGCAATCTTGTAGAAAAAGAACCAATCTTTAAAAAACACATGGGAAATTAATCTCTGTCTTTTTCTGCATGTACAAATATACATCTATATACTCTGTTTACCTGGGATCCCACCACATTCTCTATTTGTCTTGAATTTGTGATTTCTTCAAGTCCAACAGAGCTTTAGATAAAGTAAAATAATTTTTCACTGCATTAAATTTTCTTGAGATACTGAAAAAATGGTTTTCAAACCAAAATTTACAAATTTCCAACAGAAAGGCAGACTCTACAAAACCCCTGTTTCAGCAATTTATGGCCTCTTTGAAAAAAATTCAATTAAAACTTTGTCCCTACAAATCAACCCAGCACTACTTGATATGCACCAAATGGATGTGAAACATTGTTGATCATGTGCCTCCTAAATTCTCTAAAACACCTTTTGGGTTTTAGAAGATTGAAAAGATTTCTTTCCTCCAGCACGCTGTTTTCCAGTGGGGTGGCAATAAAACAGATCTCTTGGACAGACAGGGCTCTTTGAAAGTCTGCCCTTTGAGTTCTGATTCCATCCCTTGTGTGCTCATTTTCTGGTGATTTCAGCTAAGCATTGTTTCACTTGTTTCCTCATAAGAATGTCTCATGGGACGATATTAAAAATCTTAATTATTACAAACCGCCGTGTGCTATTGTTTCTTTATTACTGACACAGCCTTGAGGCACAAGCCAGGTTGATCTACCAGGAACAGATCAATCACATCAATGTCAGCTGTTCTTGACAGCCTAGCAGCCTTCTGCTGATTTTTCAATGGTTTTCTTGAACATTTTTCAATGTTCTGGTGTCTTTTCTAGGTGCTCACATCGAAGGCCTGCCTTCTAATTACCTTGATCTTCTTTTCTGAGATACAGAGAGACAATATTTGCTTTTTGTTCATTTTTTTACATCTTTCTGCTCATATTCTCAAAGTTAATTACTGAGGGTTTGGATCTTTTAACTGTAGCTTGATTGGTTGTAACCAACCTAAATATTCTTCACTCCATAATCTGACCTGTTCTCTTTTCCTACACTATTGCAGTGAATATTAACTTTATATAGAAAGAAATGACATTTGATATGTCCTCTGTCAATTTAAATGGCAGACCTGGCTGGATTTTATTTGTTTTATTCCTAAAATGTTTATAAAGTCCTTTCTTACCCTTTATGTCTCATAATGGCCTCTTAAGTGAACCTTCCATCTGGAAAATTAGCTGTGTCTACATAATTATCAATGCACCTCTGTTTGAAAGGGAAAAGAGGTGATCTGGAGTGTTCCCTATAAAAAGTTGGGCCTTCACTTGTGCAAATGAAATTCTGGAGTGTATAGGAACAAGAAATGTTCAGCATTTCTAAAAACTTGTCTTTAGAGTCTCCTGTTTTTCTGGCAGAGAGGAATTGTATTAATTTTAAGGAACTATGTCTGTGCTCATGTAATATAAGACAAGAACAACAACTTCATCCAGCCCAAGATACGAGGATCTTACATTCCCAAATCAACTGGCAAAAGACTAAAAAAGGCATAAATGTAAAAAAACTTTGAGAAGAGAATAAATAAGTAACACAGAATCAGAAATGGTATTTTTAGCTTGATTATCTCCAGTTCAACCTAAGAAAATGTATCACAGGTATTTTCCCTGAAATATAGATGTAGTTTAGCATCCAAGAGGAGCTTTAGTTCATAGGAATCCCAGTCCCCCTGAAGTTTTTAAGTGCCTTTGACTTTTAATAGCAAGGTTTAAACCTCTATTGTGGGGTTTTGAGAATGATTTTCAGGCTTTCTTTTTTCCTGAAAATTTTGCCTTCCTCTTCCAGTATATTTCAGGGAAATAAGAATACAATCAGTGGTCAGCAGAATTCCCTGGGAAAAACCAAAAAGAGCCCCATGGCAATGATGCACAAGGGAGTACAGCCAACAAAAAGAAACAAGTCTTTTTTTAGGCTGGAGTTTTTACAAGCATATTGCTTGTAGGCTTGGGTGTTTTGTTATTTTTTCTGGGGCTCTCTTTATCTGCTGCAGACAAGAGGTCTCAGACAGCCCCTGCAGAGGAAGACTACTGTAAACTATGAAATAAACCCTTCCTTCCTCCGGAGATTCCACTGGCAAACGAACTCTGATGAAGTTTCCTCAGAACTTTCTTCACAGTTTCTGCCATGACAAGGGTGAGTGCTTACCAGTAGGAAGCTCATTAAATGGCTTGGAAAGGGAATCTCCAGGAAAAGGTGTAGCACTTTCTGCCTTTTGGTGCCTGGGAGCATAAAAACTCTCCTGAAGTTGTCTATAAATTTTCTGTGCATACAGTTGTAACAGCTGATCAATGTTTTAGAAAACAAAAAAAACCAAAAACCCCAAACCCTGCCCTATCAAGATTGATTGACATTAGTTTGTAGTAGAATAATGTTGAAATTAGGCCCTGCTGCACAATGTGCTGTATAAGTGCATTAAAATACCAGCTTCTGTCTGTGTCCTTCAGGCAATAAAGCCTCCTAACAGAGAAGGGCTGGCAAACAGGAAAAGTTTTCATTTCCAGTTTGAGGCTAAATAAACAGCAGCCCTGATCTGATGCTGTCTGGAAGCCTCAGGACCTCTGGTGCTTCTAAGCAAGGCTTGCCCAGGCCAGCCAAAAGCTGATCTCAGCTTTCCAGAGCTTCTTGATTTGTGTTTCTAGTTCTCACCTGCTAGAAAGTGTTCATCTGCCTACAAATATTTGGTTGTTGTTGTTGTTTTTAATCCTCACTCTCTTCAGTAACTGCCTTGCTTTCTAAGACTTTGTTGCAATTTCTTGTCAACTCTCCTGATTTGTTAATAACTGAGGCTGTTTTAGAATATATTCTTTATTCCATGCTCTTTTCTGAGATAATTTCTTTGATGGGCAGAGATCTTTGGTTACTTGACAGTTCTTTCTTTTTTTTTGGAAAAAATTGGGCGATACCAGTTGATGTTAGCTTGGAATCCAGAAGCCACTGATTTTTATTCTGTAAGAACAGGCTGAGGCTCCAAAATTAGGGCTCCAAAATGTACTGTATAAACTCAAACAATGTTTTACAGATGTGAAGTGGGTGCTACCCTGTGGCCTCCTATTGCTGCCAGCACTTGTTGAGTCCTTTGCATGTTCAGCCTCATTAAATCCCATCCATGACAGTGGAGCTTTATGCAGCAGTATAATTAATCAAAGTACACACAATAAATGTGCATGAGTTCCTAGTGTATTGCCTTGTCCACTGAAATATTCTATGCACCTGTTCAGGTGCTGTAACTCTATCAAGATCAGGACATTGAAGAATATGGTGCAAGGGACTCTTCAGAGCAAGGTCCACGTTTCAAGCCTGACTGCCACAAGTGACTGATGAACCTGTATGGTGAAGAGTTCCAGCAATCCTGGAGCTGACAAACCTGACCAGAAATGAGAGCTCTGCACAGCTGAGATCCATAGGAAGGGCTTGTTCTTTGCTGCAGCTCCCATTTTTGCTCCAGCTTTGAGTGTTGGTGCCTTTCCTACAGAGATACCGGAAGAACTGATGCCTCCTCACTGCAAAACATTATGCCAAGTGAAAAATTGCAATCTGCTTATTCATGCATTTAATTCCATCTAATTGTCCTCCTCCTCCTCCTCCTCCTTGATATCCTGGAATTGTGTGTTTCTGTCAGTAAAAGTTGGTCATGTGGCACTTGGCACTCTGTCACCACAGTGTGTCTCTCTGGCCAGGGGTAACATCCGTCCTGACGTGTGGGAGGGCCGGATCCTGGGATTTTCCAAGAAATTGTTTTCCATGCGGAGTTTCCCGTCTCGTGGAGGGCAGGCTAGTTGAGGGAATAAAAGGCAGAGCATTTCAGAGTCCAGACACTTGGAGCTGAACTTGATTTTCAAGGCTGAGTTCATCCACTTAGCCACAGTCTCTGGGAAGCAGCGCAGAGGAATTCTGTCACCTGGACACTGCAGCTACAAAATGTGAGTAGAAATGGATTCTGCTATTCTGCTTCACTGCCAGCTAAAGGAGAACTGGACAGCTGGAAATCTGTGTCCATCTTCCTTAAAAGATGCTTATATTTTAAAGCATCTTGATATTAAAAACAAATTTTAAATGAATAATTTGTGGAAATCCTACTTGTTTAAAAGTACATAGCAAAAATTGCATGACAAGTACTTTATATGGATTTTTGACTAATTTGTTTTTTACAAATGTGTTTCTTTGATTTCTCATAGCCATCTGCTTGAAAGATAGAGAAAACTCTCGGAAACATGATTTGCTTGCAGTTCCTATCTCTTCTAACCTATGGTAAGTGTGTATTTCTCTGTGTAGAAAACCAGTGGGATGGCAATATTAATGTGACTGTTCTCTTTGAGCTCAGCATCAAAGAGAATTTTTGAACCTGCCCTAATTAACCTGAGGCTGTGTTCACACAGAAGAACCTCTGGATGCAATGGCACGTTTTCCCTGCTTGCCTGTCAAAGCCATAATTGGCTCCTATAAGTCTCAAAGCTTTGTGTGATCAGATGTAGTTTCACAGGCTGAAGTCCTGTACTTGAAGCTGACTTGCCTGGTTTGAAGCTTGCCAGGTGGTTGTTTATAAAATAATTACCACTAGTTTTTATGCATTTGCAGTGTTTATAGAGCTTAAATGTCCTCTTCTAGAGAGAGAGGAGGGGAGAAGTCAGGCACCAACTTTTGGATATTTTCTCATTCTAGGACTTACAGTGCTGCAGGGGGTGAATGGGTGGACATACCATTATTCAGACACAAACATGACCTACAGGGAAGCAGAGCTGTGGTGCAGAAAGAAGTACACTAACCTGGTTGCCATCCAGAACCAGGAGGAAATCAAGCATCTCAATACCTTCTTACCCTTCAATCCGGGTTACTACTGGATTGGAATCAGAAAAATTAATGGGGTGTGGACCTGGACTGGAACTAACAAAGAGCTGACAGAAGAAGCAAGAAACTGGGCTTCAGGGGAGCCAAATGGCAAAGGGAACAACGAGGACTGTGTTGAGATCTACATCAAAAGAGGGAAGGATGATGGCAAATGGAATGATGAGCAGTGTGAGAAGAAGAAGGTTGCCTTGTGCTACACAGGTAGGGCCTGATAAAGGTCACTCCAGTGTGACCCTGGGGAGCTGAGGTGGTGGCTGGCATGAGTTATTTAACTTCATTTAATGTTTACTTCAGAACAAGTGGTCTTGGAGTTTCCAGCCACCAGAATCCTTTTACTGTGAGCTAGTCTGTAAAAGGTGTGCATTTCAGAAATGCTTCTGTGAAATGACAGGACAATCCTAAATACCAAACCCTCTGATTTTCTTTTGCTATACAAAGGGCTTGTTTAGTGTCAGAAAGACAAACAAAGTGCTAGCCACGTTTTCTTAGTGGCTGTTGTTGATTCTTTCATAATTTGCTTTATTCTTTTTTTTTTCCAGCTTCTTGCAACCCGTCCCTCTGCAGTGGCAATGGAGAATGCATAGAGACTATCAACAACCACACCTGCCATTGCAACCCTGGCTTCTATGGGCCTGAATGCGAGTTTGGTAAGATTATTTCATCCTGCTTCTTGACCAACTCATGCTACCTAGTGCTCAGTTTGCCTTCTTGGTTTCCTTGCTCAGCCAAAGAGACTGACTGTGTATCTTCTTGTGCTTCTTTGAAGTTGAGAGTTGTGATCCACTAGAGAAACCTGATCATGGGAGTCTTGAGTGCCAGCATCCATTGGGGGACTTCAGCTACAACTCATCCTGCAAAGTTCAGTGTGAGGAGGGCTATGAGCTGACTGCACTGGAGTCTGTCCACTGTACCTCTGCTGGGCTCTGGTCTGCCCCCATTGCAGCATGCAAAGGTGAGCTTGCTGCATTGCACATGGCCCTCTACACCTCAGGCAGGAGGTAAAAATGGAAGTTTGGTGGCCAAATCCTTTGTAACACATTATGTGATGTAGGTGCTATTTTATTTCAGCACACAGGTCTCTGTTCCCGAGGAGGTGAGATGAGTAGGATGAATGTTCTGGCCTTGTTCCTTGCAGGGAAAGAATTTTCCAACTCTTAGGTGGAAACAGGGAATTGAGATGACCTAGCTGTGAGACAGCTCTCAACAGGCCAGTTACAATTAAAGCATCAAAGGTCACACAGCAACAATAAAAATAGGGAAATTTTGGATTTTAAGTAGTTGCTGTCATGAGCTGCAGATGAATTAACAGTCTTGCCTGAAGAGCTAGTTTCCCATTTTAAAATATTTCCCCTTCTGTCTGCTTTGTAGGATGGTGGCATAGTAGCATGCCATAGTAGTAGCTTTTCTAAACCTGCTCCTGTTTAGTGGATGTGTTGCTAAGATTCAAAAAAGAAAAAGACTTAAAATGGTTTGTTGCAAGCTAAGCTCTGTCTCTTGTGCCTTTCAGCTGTGACTTGTCCTGCCCTGGAAATGCCTGCCCATGGGGCTGTGAACTGCTCCCATCCCTCAGAGCAGCTCACCTGGGGAACCACCTGTGAGTTCAGCTGTGAGGAAGGATTTACCCTGAGAGGAGCAGCCACCCTGCAGTGTGGCTCTTCAGGGGCCTGGGACAGGCAGCAGCCAGAGTGTGCAGGTAATTTCCTCTCTCAATCAGATCTAATCCAAGAGTAGCATTCATCCCCAGCCCTTTTCATAAGCAGATCCCAATACCACACTTTAACAGTGGAGTGTTCAGGCAGGAATCTTGATTGCGTAAACCCCAAATGGGAGCAAGTGTCAGTTTATGCAGTCCAGGGTGGAGAGTAATGTGGAGCCATTCCCAGGATGACCTGTGTGCTTTGGGTGCAGATTTAAGGGTTCTGGCTGCACTGTGTAACCTGCTTCAGACACTGCTAGGTCTGAAGGGAGGTTTGATGGCTCTGTAGGGAAGCTCCAGGCAGGGCATGTCTCTTGCCAGCTCCAGAAGAGTGTTTGTTTATCCTGACCTACACCAAGCTAAGCTCTGTGCTGTTTCTTGTGCCTTTCAGCTGTGACCTGTCCTGCCCTGGCAATGCCTGCCCACGGGGCTGTGAACTGCTCCCATCCCTCAGAGCAGCTCACCTGGGGAACCACCTGTGAGTTCAGCTGTGAGGAAGGATTTACCCTGAGAGGAGCAGCCACCCTGCAGTGTGGCTCTTCAGGGGCCTGGGACAGGCAGCAGCCAGAGTGTGCAGGTAATTTCCTCTCTCAATCAGATGTAATCCAGGAGTGGCATTCATCCCCAGCCCTTTTCATAAGCAGATCCCAAGGTGGGGTCATTTAACCTCGTGTTTTAGTGAGGAAACAGCAGTGCAGGGTGACAAACAGCACTCTGGGGCAGTGTCTCCAGCACACACAATACCACACTTTAACAGTGGAGTGTTCAGGCAGGGATTCTTTATTCCCTAAAGCCCAAATGGGAGCAAGTGTCAGTTTATGCAGTCCAGGGTGGAGAGTAATGTGGAGCTATTCCCAGGATGACCTGTGTGCTTTGGGTGCAGATTTAAGGGTTCTGGCTGCACTGTGCAACCTGCTGAAGTCTCTGTTTGTGAGACCCTGGAAGGGAGGTATGATGGCTCTGTAGCTCCAGAAGAGTGTTTGTTTATCCTGACCTACCCCAAGCTAAGCTCTGTGCTGTCTCTTGTGCCTTTCAGCTGTGACCTGTCCTGCCCTGGCAATGCCTGCCCACGGGGCTGTGAACTGCTCCCATCCGTCAGAGCAGCTCACCTGGGGAACCACCTGTGAGTTCAGCTGTGAGGAAGGATTTACCCTGAGAGGAGCAGCCACCCTGCAGTGTGGCTCTTCAGGGGCCTGGGACAGGCAGCAGCCAGAGTGTGCAGGTAATTTCCTAATTTCCTTCTCGCTGCTCAGTGAGCCGCGGGGGCTGCCAGCGCTGCCTGGTGCTGTCCCGGAGCGCTGTGCTGATGGTGGCTGTGTGCTCCCTGTGCTGCAGCTGTGCTCTGTGAGGCTGTGCCGTGGCCAGCAGAAGGCTCCGTCAGCTGTGACCGCGCTGCTGCAGAGCTCACCCCTGGCTCCCGCTGCCATTTCCAGTGCCCCGAGGGATTTGTCCTGCAGGGATCACCCAGCACGGAGTGCACGGCTCAGGGCCAGTGGTCACAGCCGGTGCCCAAATGCAAAGGTAAGGCTGTTGGGAATTGCAGCTTTCTTCTCACTGGGGAACACGCAGGAATCCCTGTTCCTGTAGGACCCTGGCTCCAAACTCAGTTCTGTGTTGCCATGTTTTCAGCTGTGCCTTGGAATGCCTGCTCATGGCTCTGAGCAGCTCCCATCCCAAAGTCAAATGAATTTGAAAATAAGTGTACATCTACTCGTGCAAAATATTGGGCCAAAGACAGGAAAGCCCTTAGTTGTTCCAGTTGTGTTCTTTTGCAAAAAAATTATGTGCAAGCAAACCACAGGAAATTATATAGAAATTTCACTATTTGTTTGCTTGGAACCTCTTGATTTTTTTTTTTTTTTTTTTCTTGCATACTTCACTACTCTACAGCAGGAATAACCATATCTTTTTGTGTTTCAGTCATACAGTGTGACCCACTGAGCTCTCCTGAGAAAGGCTCCATGGATTGCTCCCACGGGGCTGGGATGTTCACCTACAACACCTCCTGCCACTTCAGCTGCCTGGAAGGATGGAGTCTCAATGGCTCTCGTGTTCTTGAGTGCAGCCCCTCAGGAAACTGGAGTGCCAGCCTGCCCACGTGTGAAGGTACATTGCCTGTGAGCAGCCACAGGGAGGTGGCACTGTGTTTGTAGTCAGATGAGGTTTGCAAGGGTGGTAGTGGTGGTAATAGCAACCTGAGAGCTAGAACATGTAGTGAAGTCCATTAATTCAAAAGCCCAACAGAATCACTCATGCTTGAAAATGGAAGAGGGGAAAAATCCTAAAAGATCTTGGTGGAAAATATTGATTTCTTATATATAAAAAACCCCTGCAACCAGATTTTACTTCTTTCTGTTTGGTTTTTAAACAAAATATTTCTCACCATGAGCTTTTTCTCCATGTGAATAGAGACAAAAGCTTTTCTAGACAAGCAGAACCTTGTGGGTAATCTGCACTCTTAAGTCTGGTTCTCAGTGGAAAATTTTATAGTTTTTTTGATTTGGTGTGATAGTTTCTTGGATGGACTCCTCAGCCAAAAGACCTCACAGAGCTTTTCTCTCAGAGGCTGCAATTTCAAAGGATAGAAGCTCAGCCTTGCCTTCTCATTCAAGGCAGTAAGAGCTCTGTCACTGCCCTCAGCTGGAACACCCCTGGCCTGCCTGGAATGCTTTTTCTTGAGGTCCTAAAAGCTCAATCCCACTTTCATTTGCTTGAGCAGAATTTAGATCCTTTAGAATTTCATTGATCTCAGTAGGATTGCTCAAAGAGGAAGATAGCACACAGGGAGTTAAAATATCAACTGCAACATGAAAAATAAGAGGAGCACAAATTGCTATGCAAGGCTGGAGGTTGGAGACAGACCCTGGTGTAGGGAGCTTCTTGCCTTTGCCATTACTTTGGCAATGGATGGGATAATTTTTAGTATTCAGCTTTTTACCTTGTGTACAGGAACTATCCTGTTTCAGCAAGAGAAAACTTGAGTGTTACAAGCTGCACTTGTGGTTCCTCTTGAAGAGCACGAGGAAAGGGAAGAAGGAGAGAGGGCTTCAAAGACCCACCTTGATCTCACTGAAATCTTTTCATCCTTTCAGCCTCTGACCAAGCCAGCTACATCTCTGTGGGCATAGCAGCCACTTCTGCCTCTCTGCTGTCCACAGCATCATTCCTCCTTTGGCTCGCAAGGCGCTTCCGGAGAAAAGGTCAGCACCTGCTCTGCTTCATTTATCTTCCTGAAAAGTCCCTGAAAGGAGGAAAAAAATCAACCCCAAACCTCCAAAGCCCTATGCCTTGCTTGTTGAAAAAGTAGTAATTCACATACTTAGATATAATTCCTAAATTATTTTCAAGAACCCTCCATGTATGCCATGTTTGGCTTTTGGATGGACATCTGAAAAAGGAAAAAAAATAGTAAACCCCAAATATTTAGACAACAAGAATGAGGGCTTTTGTCTTGAAATACTAATATCTTTTCTTATTCTTCTTGCAGCAAAGAAGTTTATTCCTTTCAGGTAAGTTGTGTCTCAAAAAGCAACATGAAAAAACCACTGCCATCACTTTGCTAAAACCCATTTGATAAGAACCTGTTGTCACTAAAGTACTTTTCACTTTTTGTTTTATAGGAACTGGCAGGAAACAGCCAGTGAAGGTAGCTTCCAAATTGCTGGCGAGAATGTCTAACTCAGGTGCTTCAGGTAAGCACATGTGATGGTTTCACTCACAAATTCTCTTCCTTTTAATCACACAAGCAATCAATCAGAGCTGCTAATTGCTGTACAGTTGCTGACACAGCAATATGTGCTTTGGGACACCTAATGTGCATCTTGGCATTGCATGGCAGTTCCTAACAAGCCTGATGGATTTATTGCTGCAGAAATGGTTGTTCAGCTCCTGAAGGATGATTGTGCTTAGCATTCTGTCCAGCTGCAAATGGTATTAGGAACACTTTTGTGCAGTTCTGCTACCTGCTGCATACAAAATTCCTCTGAGATGAGAGCAAATACAAATCTCTGCCAGTTTTCTGATTTATGGAGGAATTTTGTTCTCTCCACAGGAATTACAGCCACCTTCACTTACATCTCAGATTTCTGGAGAATGAAACTGCCTGCAAATCAGCAGCTGTCCAGATGTTTTTACCTTTTGCTGACAAGATGATTGACCTTGTATGTGATTCAGAAATCTTGAACTCAAGCTGTCTGGTATTTCCATTGAAGACAAACAGAGAACTCTGGCCTTGAGGCCAAATCCTGCCTCCATTCAGCCATGTGCTTATCCTGAACTGGGAGCTTGCCATCTCCTGTGCAGGTGGTGAGTAAGCAGAGCACTGCTGCCCAAAGAGGAGGCTGGTTCCTCCTCTGCTCCACTCAAAGGTACCAAGGTGAGGTGAAGACATGCATTAATTCACATCACTTACTACACTGCTGCAGTGTCTCCTCTGGACTCACAGGGGTTATGCTTGCAGAAACAGAAGAATCAGGATGGAAAAATATTCACTGAACAGCTTTGAAACTATTGATCTGGGTTGTGGAAGCCAGTTTATTTTCAGATGTCCCAGTCAATAGATATGCCTGCAGTGATATGGGCAATTATTTGGGTTTCTGCTGCATATCCCAGAAAACTTAGATGCCTTTTAAAAAAAAAAAAATATAACAGCACTAGGAACCATGGTGTTTACACAGGGTACTCTGGTTTCTGAACACAGCAGGTAGATCTGAAATTATCTCATCCCTGTGGGATTCTGTACTGTAATATGTGTATATACATATGTATTTATTTGAGCAGTTTTTATTGTGGATATTTCTGTGCTCTTAAGTGTACATGTATTGTAAAATACTTGTTTTTGAGTAGGTCTGTGGCTGTTGATCAGAATTTATTTGAAACTAAACTGGAAGTGTTTGTAAGGATTGCGTGACTGCATAATGTTTATGAATGAAATGGAAGACTGAGATTTGTATGTTTATGTATTGAAAACACGATTTTTTTTGCTGTTAAAAGTCTTCAAATGAGACTCCTTTAATTTATATTTAAGTTATGATTATAAATTAAAAATCTCTCATTTAACCTGATATGTATTGTCCTATTTGTAACATTTTAAAATAAAATGTTTTCAATTTAACACTCCCTATTTGTAAATGTGAATTGTTCTATTTGTAACATTTTTTAATAAAATGTTTTCAATTTAACACTCCCTATTTGTAAATGTGAATAATTTAAATTATTTGGGTCAGCCCTATGACTTGTGGCTTCAACAGAAGAATGTGAGGGTTAGGGAGAAGACTGACTAAAAGCAAGGCTGTCCATTACTGGAGAATCACAGAATCACTGGGTTGGAAGAGACCTTTAAGATCATCAAGCCTGACCCATGCCCTAACACCACCTCAATTAAACCAGGGCTCTGAGTGCCACAACCAATCCTTTTTTAAACACACCCAGGGATGGTGACTCCACCACCTCCCAGGGCAGACCATTCCAGTATTTATCACTCTTTCAACAAAAAACTTTTTCCTAAAATCCACTCTAAATTTCCCTTGGAGCTTCCCGTATTTCCCTAGCAGCCAGCAGATGGGGCTGACTGCCCGGGACTGGCCCGGCCAGGGCTGATCCCAAACCAGCATCCCCAGTCTGACAGGGAGGAGGAAGGACCAGCGCCCCAGCTCCGGCAGGCAAGCGCAGGAGGGAGAGAAGAGCAGGAAGAGGAGCGAGCAGGAGATCTTGGTGCACAACTAACAGCACAAACCCCAGGTTTTTGCAGCCCTTCCTGCTGGGAAGTTGAAAGAGTTATCACAGGTCTGAGATATCGCAGTTATTACAGCTGAAAGCACAGCTCTGACTGCTGCCCTGGCACCTCCATCCCAGCCTGGGCTGCAGCCAAACACTGCCATGGCTGCTGCTGGGGGGGTACCAGGGGTGAGCACACACTGTTGGGGTCACCCTTTGCCAGCCCCTGGCATGACAAGGGGTTATGGTTTTCTATGGGAGACATTTAAAGAAGTGATATAAAACTTATCTACATTTTGTATGGTTAACTAAGATAACCAGGGGTTATGGTTTTGTATGAGCGACACTTCAAGAAGTGATATAAAATCTTTAGCTACTATAAAACTAGACATGTTTCTGTGAAAAACACATGTAAAAGATGAGAGAAACTCGAGAATTTCTTCTTTTTTTTTCCTGACTTAGGAACAAGTAATAAGGCCTGTTCCAGCTGAGCCCCAAGCCAGGGAAGTTATGTTGAGGCCCTTCTCTAGGGAGCTCACTGAGCCTTGCTCTAGTTGGGTTTTATTCTAATTCTTATTACTCTTTCTTTTAATTACTATTAATACATTTTTCTTTATACCCTTTTAAAGTTTGAAACATACTTTACCTTTCTCCTAATCCTATCTCACAACAAAAAATAAACACATTAATAATTAACCAACACCGAACCCACCACGCTCTCTAGTACGTTAACCAAGAAATCTCAAAATTAACAAAATCTCAAATTAACAAACCAAGACCACTCCACCAGGGAAGCTGCATTGCAGCTCTGAAGCTGCTGCCAGACAAACTCTGAGGGGCATTCCTGCCCCAGCCAAAGGTCAAGAGAAGCCATCAGGGCTGTGAGGGAGTCACTTAAGAGGTGCTATTGTATTGGCAGGGGTCCCCATGGCAGGCAGGAATGATGAATCTGACTGCATGTTCTCAGAAGGCTATTTTATTACTTTGTAATACTATATTACATTAAAGAATATAAAAAGGTACTTGCTGAATGCTAAAAAGATAATAATGAAAACGTGTGACACTTTCCAGAGTCTAACACAGCTTGGCCCCAATTGGCCAAAGAGTGAAAACAACTCACACCAGAATCCAATGGAACAATCACCTGTGGGTAAACAATCCCCAAACACATTCCACATGAGCACAACACAGGAGAAACAATTGAGGTAAGAATTGTTTTCCTTTTCTCTGAGGCTTCTCAGCTTCCCAGGAGGAAAACCCTGAGCAAAAGGATTTTTCAGAGAATGTGAATGCCACAAGGTGCTGCCCCACGGGGGACAGAGCCCATTGCTGTTTGTCCCAAACCGATTAAAGAGCTGAGAGTGGCTGTCAGCATTTCCACTGCCTGGACAAGGTGGGGCCCAGCCCTGGGAGCAGATGTAGAGCAGTAATCCTCAGGTTCCCTGAGGGACGCAGGGATTAGCCCGGAACGCCCTGCTCTGAATCCCTGAGGAGCTGTTTTGAGAGCTAAAGCACCACATGGATCCCCTGGGCTGCCCTTGTTGGTGTCCTCTACTGCATGGCCATCCTCTGGAGAGAGCTGCTTATGCAGCCTGGATCCCACCCTGCTGCCCAGGGCAGTTCAGCTTCTCCTTTCCTGACCACAGCTGGTGCTTCTAGCAGTTTTCTCTGGGATCTTACAGGGGCTTTATTGCCAGAAATGAGACTATAAAATTATCCCTCTTCTTTCTCCAAGCCTTGTGACTTCTAGAGGCAATGCTCTCCTAGTGAGATCACATTTGGGTGGGATTCATCCTCTACTTCTCCCATATATCCCCTAGGCCAGACCAAGACTCTTTGAAGGGGATCTCCTTCCTTGCAGTGACTTTCAAGTTCCATCTATCCTCATAATTAATACTGGTCCAGCACACAGGCAACATAATTAATGTTGGTCCAGTTTTGCCAACGCAGGCAAAACCCAGCCTGTGCTCATCCAGGTTGCTTGATTCTTTATCCCCTCCTGGCACAGCTTTTCCTGCCTCAGGATATGATTTCCCAGCTAGGATGGCATGGTGCATGCAGGCCTTGAGGAGCTCCAGGGAGTCATTTCATTTGCAGTGGATGTGTCTCTGCCTGGGAACACAGCTCTTGTTTGTATCTGTGTCCTTCCCGTGCTGGCAACAATGGCCTTGGGAATGCTGGCTGCCAGGCAGGCCTTCAGTCACTGCATTGTGTCACTGCAGTGCTGAGCAGCCTCTGATGGGCCACAGGACCTTTGCTGGAGGGACTTTCCTCATTTCCTGTTGTTCTGCTTCCCTTAAATTCCTCATCTCTCCCCGGGCCCGTGGCATTGTTCAGAGCGGGCTCCATGTTCTGCCTGGCATGTTGTGCTGGTGTCTGCTTGTGCTGTGACCTATGGCAGCTGTGAAGGTGACATTAACTGGGAGGCACTCGTGTCCTTTCACAGCTTTGTGTGTGTGCTGCTTGGCACAGGGATGGAGTTTGTGGTGTAACTTAACACATTCCTGACGAGCCCAGCTACCCAGGGTGGCTTCAGCTTGTTCGCTTCTGCAGGCTGCCAGACTGGGGGAGTCAGAAACAAAATTCCACTGGAAGGCTCAGACAGGCAGTGTTTGATTTGGGGTGAGTGTTTCTGTGGGTTTTGGTGACACAAACAGTGGAAGACACAAGATTGGGTTTGTGCCTTCTGTTTTCATAAGCCACCAAACAAGCAGTTGTGTACCTGGGCCTGCCTGAAGCTGCCTCCCAAAACTCCAGTTTCTGAGGGCTGGAGCCAGCATTTGGCCAGTGTTTCTCTTGTGGAGATGAGCTGCTGCTCCAGGCTCTGGGGGTTGCACATCCCTACAGCTCCTGGCGTGCTGTGCCGAGGCCTGGCAGGAGGACTCTGCAGCAGCAGCAGCCCCCACAGGAATTGGAGTGAGTTGGGATCCAGTGGCCATAACCTGCTCTGGGAGCTGCCAGAGGGTATCAGGGCCAGGAGGCCAGGCTGCAATCACAGTGTCTGTGCAATGCAACATTCTTGGGCCTCTGTGAGTCTGCTTTCTGTCCTGAGTCTTGCTGCTGTTTGGGTTCCTCTGGTTCTGGCAGGGGGCTGGCTCCTCTCCCTGCCCGGTGTTTGATCAGGGGTCTTCAGCCCACACAGACCCAGAGGAGCAAATCTGTGTGATGAGCTTTTGGTCAGGGACAGAGAAGCCCACAGGTTTGCTGCTCCCTGGGAGCCATAACTCACAGCAAATGAGAAGCACAGCCTGGGCTTGCCCAGCCACAGGCAGGACAGGTTCCTGCTGGTACTGGGCTACAGGAACTTGCAGAAAAGCAGCAAAGCAGCTACCAGAGCCCAGCCTGTCACAGCATTTGCACAGCTGTCCTGTATAGCTCCCTAGCCTGGTTTAGGGCCTCTCTCCTGCACACCTGTAGGAAGAAACAATCAAAGCTGCAGGTTAGATTTCACCAGTAGAGCCAAAATCTGCTGGATGGCTTTTGCTACTCACCTAGCACTCACTTAGAAGGGACACAGACTTGGCCAATACAGTTCAGCTGTGGCTCCACAGACAGAAATCTGCAGCCCAGAAAGTGTTTCCACAGCTGATGGTGGCCAGTGCTTTTTCCAGCTCAGGGAAGCTGCTGCCAAGAACAGGACAGCTGCAAAAAGCACAAATGCCTCCTAAGCAAGGCAGCAGATGCCCTGGGGCAGCTGCCAGCAGCTTTTCTACCTGCCTTCCTACTTCAGAGAAGGACATTCCCTGAAAAGCCCAAGTTGCTTTGACTTTCAGCCTGGGCCAAGTGGGACCTTCATCAGCTTCTCACCTTGCCAGCTGCCATGAAAGCAGCCATGGCAGGTGTGAAATTGCAGGTGACTTGCTTGCTCCTGGCACTCCAGTGCTGTCATTTTTGGCTTCTGACAGCCTCTGAGTGGGCAGGATGAAGGGATCACACTGAATTCATGGCTTCTGGAGCAGGGCTTGGGCCATGGAGCACCGGGGAGAAGGAAAAGGGTTAAAGGGGAGACAGGAAACACTTTGGGCTTATTTCATAGGATGATTTCTGGGAAAGGAGGGGCTGCAATCAGGCAGGATGAATTCACTTCAGGATCTTGGGAAATCAAGCTCAGCCTGGCCCAAACCAAGGTGAAAATGCAGCAGGAAAAAGCAATGTCCCTGCTTTACCCCATGGCGTGTCAGTGCAAACAGCCCAGATAACATGAAAATCAGACATGGTGGAAT